AGGAGTTTGTGGACAACGGCGTGGACCTCCGCTACATCGGCTCGGTGGACGTCGATTGCTGCGGCGGTGGCGCGTGCAACGTGACGGACTGGGCATGCGAGGCGTACACGCACACGGAGAGGCTCGAGCGCAACTGCACGTACTCGAAGCTGGTGAACGAGCCCTGCTCCTCGGATCACGAGTGCAACTCCGAGGCGTGCACCGGTGGCTTCTGCTCCGTGCCGCCGCCCGTCGGCACTTGCCGCGACCCCGACGCGGACCCCGGCGCGACCAACCTCGACGGCCCCATTCTTAAGCCGAGTGTGCTCGACGTCCCCGACGGGGAGCTCCGCACCCCCTGCGGGCCCCGCTGCCCGGAGGGCGAGCTGTGCGCGGAGAATGAGACGCAGGTGACGCGGTGTAATGACGGCGAGTGCTGCGGAGCCGACGGCTACTGCGGCGGAGGCAGCTCATCGCTCAACCTCGAGACCGGCCTGTACCAGAACGCGCTCGGCATCGCCAGGTACTCATTCGTTCTCGCAGAGGCGTGTCACGAAAACTATGGCGACTGGCGCTATGTCGAGTGCCTATCGCCGGACAGCGACGATCTTCCCCGCAGTGTCCTAGCGGCCGTCTGCGCCGTGGCAGCGTGCGTCGTTCTGCTGCTGTGCCTGTACTGTTGCAGCTGCCTCTCCGTCAGCTGGCTCAGCTGGCTGCCGGTACCGCCGCTATCGCGCATCGCCGCGTCTCACGGCACGAGCCCGTGGACGCTGCTGCGCAGGCGAATCGCTCGGAGCGCTCCCGTACGCGCCTGCGTCGGATGCGCACGAGCGGTGCGGCGGGCGTGCAGCAGGGCTCGTACTGCGCCGTTGCTGCGCCCTAATGCCACGCGTCACGTCGTGTGGGAGCGAATCTGCCGCAGGGCGAACAAGGAGCCGACCGAGGGCCCGCCCGACGTCGAGCGGCTCCCATTTGTGGAGCAGCGCCTGTGGAGCTCGGTGCTGGAGCAGAAGCTGTGGGGGACGGCCGCGCGCGAGGCTGCGCAGCTTCGCGCGTGGCTCTACGTGACTCGGAACACGACGCCCTTCATCGAGGCGTGTGTCGAGAAGCTGGTATCGAGGTGCGGGACCGCGGCTTGCACTCAGCGCAGCGGCTGCTGCAATGACGGACGCCGGACTGACCATCCTGCTCACGCAGACCTCGAGGCGGGGCCGAGGCTGACGAGGATGTCATCGCTGGGCACCGTGCCCTTCGTCGAGCAGTCCCAGGTGTCACTGAACATGGGAGCCCTGCTTCGCTTCTGCCTCAGCGAGCAGGGCGCTGGGGGCCGCCAGCTGTGGGAAGAGTGGAAGCTCGCTCTCCGCGCCCTCCGCTCAAAGGAGAAGCATCGCGACGCGTCAGTCCACCGCGACTCTGCCTCGAGGCAGGCGGCGAGGGAGTCGTCCGAGCCAGTCGACTCTGAGCCCATCTCGGTGCACGAGTTCGCCTCCCTCCTGCTCTCGCCGTGCAACAGCGCCATCGAGCCTAGGCGCTCCCCCACGGACGCGACTGAGCCGCTCACCAGCTACTGGATCGATTCGTCGCACAATAGCTTCCTCGAGGGCGACCAGCTCACCTCCGCCGTGTCTGCCGACATGTACCGCCGCCTCCTGCTCTCGGGGACTCGCTGCCTCGAGATCGACTGCTGGGACCCGCGGTGGTGGGGCCAGGCGCGCGTCACGCACCGCATGATTGGCCCCACGCGCGGAGGCGTCCCTCTCCTCTGCGGAAGCGTCGCCTTCGGCGAGGTGGTCGCTGCGATCGCCGAGCACGCCTTCACCGCCAGCCCTCTGCCCGTGATTCTGAGCATCGAGATGCACTGCTCGGCGAAGCAGCAGAACAAGATCGCCAAGGAGCTCATCAACACGCTGGGCGACTTGCTCTCGCGCAGCGACCGCGTCGCGAGCACGCCCCTCCGCGAGCTGCGCCGAAAGGTGCTAATCAAGATGCGATTCGACAAGGGCGGCGTGACCACGGACCCGCTCCTCCGCTCGCTCGTCACGCTGCCCACGACCTCCATCGGCCGATCGCCGCCCGACGAGGACGACAGCGGCAGGCGGCTCGGTCGCACGGCGAGCTGGAAGGAGCTCCGCTGCAGCCGCCCCCTCCACCGTGGCGTCTGGGACTGGCTCCGCGGCGTGCCTCTCGACCGCACAAGAGGCGACGGCGACAGCGGAGCCACGCTGACGTCCGAGTCGCCCTTCGGGTCTCCGGGCTCGCCCGGCTTGCAGGTCGTCTCGTGGCTTGCGGAGGAGCCGGCGGGCGAGCCCCGCCGCGGTGTCGTGAGCTTGTCGGAGGAGCGGCTCGAGCGGCTGGCGAGCGAGCAGGGACGGTTGCTGCCCCTCACCGCCTCGCAGCTCGTGAGAACCTACCCCTCTCCGACTCGGTGGTGGTCGACCAACAACAACCCACTCGTGCGCGCCCGCCCTCGCTTCCACCACCTCGCTTAATCCCCCATATCCTCTCTAAGGACCGTTCTCCCTCCGCCACAGGTGGCGTGGCGCGCGGGTGTGCAGATGGTGGCGCTCAACCTGCAGACGAACGACTTGCCGGTGCACCTCCACGACGCCCTCTTTCACGGCAGCGGTGGCTACGTCCTCAAGCCCGCGGCGCTCCGTGCGCCCGATCGGGCGATCCAGCCCCCGACCCCAACCAACAGGGGCCCCGTGACCCCGGCTCGCGGTGGCTCTGGCGATGATCGGGTGTTGCGCGAGGGGGCTGGGCGGGGGAAGCTGTGGCCGCCGCCGCGGGAGGAGGTGCATCGAACGGAGCTGAAGGCTCCGCTGCTCCTTGCTGCCGCCCCGTTCAGCTCTCCCTCTCGTCAGCTCACCGAGCGACCCAACGCCGCGTAGGTCCTCTCCCTGCACCAGCTCCCGACGCGGGACGAGTGCCGGCCGCTGCTCGCCGAGCCCCACCACGCCGTCGTCTCGCACCTTAGCGATAGCCCCAATTCGCCCAGCGGGGCCAGCGCCAGCGTGTCGAGCCCGCGCGTCGCCGTCGAGCTGCACGCCATCGGAGGCTTCTGCGCGGTCGCACGCGAGCCGCAGCCGCCGCCCGAGGCGCAGGGCGTCACGCGGCTCACCACCGCGGTCGCGGAGGGCAACGGCCTCAACCCAACCTTTGACGAGACCTTCCACTGCCTCGCGGCCGAGCCTCACCAGACCATCCTCCGCGTTGTGGTGGAGGACGAGGGGCGGCTGGTGGCGTACGACACGGTGATGCTAGGTTCCCTGCGCTGCGGCTACCGCTGCCTGCACCTGCGCTCGCCAAGCGGCACGCGGATCGACTCGTGCTGCCTCCTGCTGCACATCTCTGTCTCCACCGAGCCAAACACCTACGGCACTGTCGATGAGCTGCGCAGCAGGGTGCATTCGCAGCGCTCGCTCATCAGCCAGCAGAGCCGCGACATCCACCAGCTGTCTGCAGAGCTCTCGCGGCTCGGAAGCCAGCCCTCGACGCCGGCGCTGTCGGACACCGCGGCGGCCCCCGCCGCTCGCTGGCCGTTGGAGCTAGCGCTGGATGCGGGCGTCAACGGGGCTCGCGCTGGCCGGCCGTCGCCGATCGCGCTGCCTCCCGGCGCCACGCTCACGGTCGGTCGCGACGCGTCGAGCGGCGTGGCCTTGTTCAAGACGCAGCACATCTCGCGCCAGCACGCCGTGCTCCACGTCGCCGCCGACGGTCGCAGCGTCCGGCTCGAAGACGTCTCGCGCAAGAACGGGTGCCGCGTGCAGCAGCCGGGAGGAGGTGGCGAGCCGGTCCTCCTGCAGTCTACGGCCGAGGAGGTGGCGAGCGCCCAGCTGCGCGAGGGCAGCGTGCTCACCTTTGGGCAGCCAGGTGATGACGAGGACGAGTTTCGCTACGTCATTCGCGCCGCCGGTACCGAGGACTCGCCTGCTTGGCACTCCAAGCGCGAGACGAGGCGTGCGATTGAGCTCAACCCGGTCAGGCCGAGTCCGCTCGCCCTCTCCTCATCTTGCCGGCACTCCCGCGGCTCCCATCTTCCCTCATCGTCGGACGAGCTCTCCCGCTCCCAGCCCTCGCGGCGCGAGCTCGATGCCCGCCAAGGCGGCCGGGAGGACGCTGCAGTGCCCGGCTGGTGGTTCTCCCCTTCCATCTCGAAGCCGTCCCCGCACGTCTCCCCTTCCATCTCGAAGCCGTCCCCGTACGCTCGCTCGTTGTGCAGCTGGCAGTCCCCGCTGCCGTCCGCGTCGGGCACATCACGCCGATCCTCGGCGTGCGACTCGCGCGGGCTGGGGGCAGCGGCTTCACCAAAGCCCGCTCTCGGATGGATCGAGCGCCTGCCCGCCCCCGACGAGGACAGTAATGGCTGCAGCAGCGATAGCGAGAACGATCCCGAGCCGCCTTCGCCGCCGCCATCGCTGCCGCCGCCATCGCTGCCAGGCTCCTCGTCATCGCCCTCGGTGCCGCCCGAGCGTCGGGGCTTCCCCTCTGGCCCGTCGCCGGCGAGGCCGCTCGCCTTCTACGCCGGCTCTGGCATCTCCCCCGCATCGGCGCCACAGAAGCGCCGCTGCGTGCACGGCCACTAAGGCGCCGCACCGAAAGGTGCCCGAGCGAGTCCCCATCGCTGTGCCCGAGAATAGATGCGCCATGCTGCTGTAGGATCCAATCATAGGGCCTTTCTTTAGCGCGCCTCTCTCGTGCATGAACATACATATGTCCATGTCCATGCACGTGCATGTGGACTAGGGTGGACACGCACCCTGGACCGGTGCGCGGTGGACGCAGAGTGTGTTGAAATTGTGATTTAGGCATGGAGACTACGTTTAGCCGTGTGCGCAATTTTGTAGCGACAGTGTGTTGATGTAGCTTAGTCTTGACACTTTTGTTTTGTTGACTAGTTCTCTCGTGTTTGTGGACATCATGACGTCTTCTGTATAAAACAAAAAAACAACGACACGACCCAGCCTAGAGAGCTAGACAACTTCATTACCAGACAAGGTGACAGCACATACCTCGCAAACTCACCACTCAAAGGGCCCCTGTGGCAGCGACTCGACATACAACCGCATCCAAAATGCGGGCGCCACCTCTGGGGCATCACTCTCGTCCACATCCATGTCGCAGGATCGATACACAGGGGTCCGCGGCGCAGGCAGGGCCGGCGGCGCCAGGTGTTCGGCATAGAGGTAGGCGATTTGCGATAGGCGGTGGGCGTTAGGCGAGCGCAGCGCCAAGCTGAGGAGCGTGGAGTGTCCCCGCGCCTCCTCGGTCACAAAGTTGACGAGCTCGCAGGATTCATTGTGCAGCAGGAGGGTGGCGGGTGTCCGCCCAAAGCTCGTGCAGCCGCCCAGCAGCGGCGCCTGCGCCTTGAGCACAATCACCTCGCCCGGCCGCGCCTTGGAGGCCGACAGAGCAGCGAGCTCTCGCAGCGGCGCTCGCGGCGAGAAGCGTCCAAGCGCGTACCGCAGGCCCGAGCCGCAGTCGGCTGAGCCACGCAAGCCAGCGGCCGGGTCGCCAAGGTTGATGTCGACGAACCGCGTGCCGCGCAGCGCCCGCTGCCACGTCTCCATCACACGCCAGTTCTGAGCGGTGAGGGACCAGGGAGCACAGCGAGAAGGGAGCACCGACGCCATACACTTTTCGATACTTTCCAGGGGGAAGACAACCGAATGGTGCCCGATGGGTGGCTTGTGGCCGCTTTGTGTATCTCGAGACCTCGAGAGAAGGCCGCCCGCAAGAGGGCCCAAGTCAAGAATTGGCTTTCTTTTGGCGGGCAAGGTGGCTTGCGAAAAGAGGGGGAAAACCAATCTGCGGTCAGCTACAACTATCAACCCGCGCGGGTGGGAGCGGGCATTCACACTATGTTCCTGAGATAATTTGGCGATTATATCCATAAGCGATAAGGGATTTCATCCCTTTTTGGTTTGGAGATCCGTGTTTTGGTTTCGGTTTTGGGTAAAACGTATACAGCTGACGCGATGCGGCCTCTGCCTAGCTTCCTGCTTCTATGCGCGAGCTACGGCGGGACCGCTATCGAGTATGGCTTATCCTCCGGCCAGTCTGGCCTCGACTATTGCATCGCCGAGGCCGACACCACCAGCGACATGACAGCATCGACCACCATGGCAGCTCCAACGTGTACGCTACCATGGTGGACAAGTCTTGCACCCTATATGTCAGCCACCACCTGGGCGCCTGGCGTGTGCGAGCACAACCCCAGTCGAGCCGAAGGACCTGAACAATGGGTCCAGTCGGTCTCTTCGAGCACGTTCGAGCCTGCCATTTGCATCGACAATCCATTTCTGAAAGTTTTGTCGATAAATTGGAATGTGGGTCAGAACACTTTGAGGACACGTGCGCCTCGCCCCACACGACCTCTCAGGCTATAGAGCACATGCCACAGCCAGGCCACAGCCTGCCCCTGAGGCGTCATTCACTCACGGCGGCCACTTTGATTTTCCGCCCCTTCGCAGTCAGCTCATGCACATGTACATGTCATGCACATGTACATGTGCACCCATGCCCCAAGAGTCAACTCGGCTCGACGGCTTTAACCATCGTGGGGCACGGACCTTCTGCGACAACCCAGCCCCCTAGTAGGCGGTGCGGAGGCGAGGCGAGTCGAGACGGCGAAACGCGAGGCGGCTGCGCGCGACGGGGCGACGGGGCGGGCAGCTCCACGGCAGACGGCGGCGCCAGCAGAGGCACTGCGGCCGTCAGATGAGAAGCCGGAGGTGGCGGAGCGGCTGTCCGTCGCTGAGTCGCTCACTCACGAGGCGGAGGTTGCAGCTGCTGCGCGTGTGGCGGAGGCTGAGGAGGCAGTTGAGGCCCGGGCGGTGGCGGGGACTAGGGATGGAGGAGCGGATGCGGGACGACTAGCGGCCACTGCTATGGCAACGGAGGCAGCTGTCGCGGTGGCGAGGGCCTTGGAGGCTGCGTCGGTCGCCGAGACAGAGGCGTGCGAGGCGGACGTGGCGGCAAAGGTGGCGGCAGCGTCGAGGGTGGCGAGGGCGGCGGTGGCGGCGGCGGTCCTGGCCGCTGCCTCCAAGACTAAATTGCAGGCGCTGAGGGCGGCCGCAGCGTCGTCAGCCGCGGCGAGGGAGGAGGCGGAGGCAGCGCATGCGGCTGCACTGCGCGAGGCTCGGGCGCCGGAGCGGCCTGCAGCTCCCCTGCCGTTCAGGCTGCGGCGCATCTGCGATGCGCTCGGGTTGGAACCGGGGCCAAACTTGCCCGCGACGGTACGGAATGCGGCAGCGGTGCTGGGCATCACCCCCGTCGGGTCGGGTTTGTTGGGCAAGGTGAAGCAGCTCGAGGATTACCTCGGGCTGCAACCTGCTGCCTGAGACCAGTCTGGGTTTTGTCCGTGCCGCGCATGAAATCCCGCATCCTCAGTACGTATCTTGGGAATTGTACGTTGCAAATTCGTCACGCGGGGGCTGAAAATTCTTTTTGCGAGAAATGCTTGGCTCGCTCCTGCTTTTGGCCGCGCCTCTCGTAGCGCTGCGCTCGCTACGGCTGTCCCAGCCATCGATACTGCCGGCCGTGTCCCCTCGCCACGCCACCGCTGCCGCGACATTGGCGGCCGCCGCCGGCGGCGGCGGCGGCCCGACCGACACGCAGTCGGCCGCCCTCGCAACAGCGCAGCCGTCGCCGGCGCTGCAGCCACGCGAGGTGATCGAGACGGTCATGTGCGCGCTGCATAGACGGAATCAGGACACGCCGTACGCGCGCTTCGGCTCCGAGGTCGCCATGCGCTTCCTGTCGCCCGACAGCCCGGCGTCGCAGCGCAGCCTCGAGCAGTTTGCAGACTACCTCTCGCAGGAGTGGTACCGGCCGCTGGTCGAGTGGAGCGAGATGCGGTGGGACGGCGACCTCGTCCTCCTCGGCAACGGCGCCGAGGCCTACCAGCAGGCGGGGGTGCGCTCCTCTCCGACAGCAGCGTGGGTCAGCATCCGGTGGATCCTCGCCCGGGTCCTTGCCGAGGGAGGGCACGAGGAGTGGCGTGTGGCGACGGTCTTCGTGCAGGAGCCCGACTCGACGCAGAGCGACGACCTTGAGGCGGCCGCCCTCGCGCTGCCCGCCGAGGCTGCCGCCGCGATCAGCCGCTGGCGGAAGCGGCAGATGGCAGAGCCGCGCGCCTGATCACACGGCAAGCAGCGGACGGCGCCTCTTCACGGCGTCGGGCGTGTGAGTAGGCGGAGCAGCGGCTCTCGCCCGCGGACGTGGTCGAGAAGGTGATGCGCGCGCTGCGCACGCCGGACGAGCCCCACCCGCTGCACGGGTGCGAGGTTGCGATCCGGTACTGCTCGCCGTCAAACGCGGCGTCGCGCCTCTCGCCGCAGGGCTTCGAGGCGTACTTGCGCGAGCCGTGGTACGCGATCATGACCGAGTGGGACGAGCTGCAGGTCGAGCGCGAGCAGCCCGAGGCCGTCGACCCAGACGGGTCGGTCGTGCTGCAGGACGCGCTCGTCCGGCGGAGCGGCGACGAGTCGTGGACGGTGGTGACCTGGCAGCTCTCGCTGCACAGCGGCACGTGGCTGACCGACAGCCTCACCATCACAGAGTGACAGGCGCCCCAGGGCGGCGGCTCGGGTGCCACCGCTGCCTCTCTGCTCTATGTGAAGCGATACAGTACACCAGACAAAGACTTACGGCAACGGAACTTTTCCAAATGGACCGACAGTAGTACACACCGGCCTCGCTCTCCTGCGAGGTGCGAGCGCGCTGCGTCCTGGGACCCACGCCGCGATAGCATGTGACAGTTGACACGCGATGCGTGTTCCCTCTCGCTCAGCTCTTGCTGTGTTCTGTGTACGTCAGACCCCATCCGCACCCTCGCACCCCTCGCTCCGCCGCGGGCTGCCAGCGAGCGCCTCAAAGCAGGCAACCCCTGCGATTCTCGAGCTGTGCGAGCCGCTCGAGCATCTCCAGCTCCTCGCCCGGTGGCCAAGGCGCGGACTGCGGCTCCGAGAGCGTGAGCGGCGGGCGCTGCTTCTGTCCCACCACGAGCGTCGCTCGGCGCTTAACCGGCGGTTCGATGGCGCGAGAGCGCGACGCCTCCGAGGCGCAAGCCCCGTCGGCGGCGAAGAGGGGGCCCGTATCGGACGGGGCGCTGTCGGACGTGGCTGTCGAAGCGCCGTCGTCCATCCGATCGGCCTCGTCGATGGCGACCTCCGCGCTGCTGGCGCGGCCGGAGGGTGCCGAGGACGACTCGAGGTCCATCGGCTCGTGGGGCGACGACGCTGCGGCGGCGGCGGCGGCGGCATCGGCGGATGCAGCGCCGCCGCCGGCGGCGTCGGCGGCGGCGGATGCAGCGGCGGCGGCGGCAATGGCGGCGAAGGAATCGAGCAAACCAAAGCGATCGGGCTCGACGCCGGCTGCCGCTTTGGCTTGCTTGAGCGACGAGTAGCGCTTGCCGCGCGGGTCGATGTAGCACTTGATGACGCGCGTGGTCGCCTTGCCTTCGACAAGCACCTCGCGCCGCCTCGAGAGCAGCCGCCAGCCTTCGCCCAGCTCCGGGAAGGCCGCGCCGCTCGTCCACGCAGCGGGAGGCGCAGCGGGCGCGGCGGGAGGCGCGGCGGGCGGGCCGCCGAGCTCGCCGACGCCGAGGAGATCACCGAGCTCGCCGAGCATGTTGATGCCGCCGCCAAAGCTGCCGCCTCCGGGACCGCAGGTGGGGTCTGGCACGCCGCCGCCAGCGGCCGGCACGGCGGGCGCGGCGGGCGCGGCGGAGGACGACCGCAGCTTCGCCTTGGCGACCGCCACCGCCGCCATCACCGCGGTGGGGAAGACGCCGAGGTACGTCAGCCGCATGCGATGCCCGTCGTGCAGGCTCACCTGCGCGACAAACTTGAGTCTGCCGCAGTCCTCGCGGCGGGAGACACCCAGGTAGCCCGTGGAGCTCTTGCCGTCAGTCTTGAGCTTCCTCGGCCCCCCGCCTCTTGAGGACAGGTGCAGCCGGTAGCCCTCGGACTCCGTCACCAGCCCAGCCGCCGCCTCGCCCTCCTCCCCGCCCTCCGCCTCCGCCCCAGCCTTTCCACTCGCAGGGGCGTCCTCCCCGCCCTCCGCCGCTCCTCCGGCCGTTCCACTCGCAGTGGCCTGCTCCCCGCCCTCCGCTCCTCCAGCCGCGCCACTCGCGGCGGCGGGTGCGGCGCCCCCATCGCCTCCGCCGCCGTCTCCGCCTCCGCCGCCGCCTCCGCTTCTGCCGCCGCCTCCGCCTCCGCCGCCGCCGCCGGCGTTCAGGACCTTGCGGGCCGGCGGTGGCGCCGGCGGCTTGCGCTTCTCCTCCTTGCAGTCGGTGCTGGAGGGGGGGGGGGGGGGGAGGGGGAATCCAAGCGGGGGGGGGCGGGAGCGAAGGTGTGAAAGGGGGAAGGCGCACCAGTGGAAGAACAGATAACTTTTGGTTGAGTACACGCCGCGCCGCTCGAGCATCGCCGTCGTTGCTGCCGCCGCCGCCGTCCGCACCGCGTTCCCGGCGGTGTAGGCGTCGGGCGAACAGTCGAAGCAGTACGTGAGTGGGCAGGTCATGCTGGGAGCGGGAGGGGGCGGGTGAGGGAAGGGGTGAGAACGAGAGGGGGAGGGGTGGGGGATGGCGCGCTGGGGACGCCGCACCAGTGGAACAGCTGGCCTCCGACTTGCGACGACTTGCGGTCGCACTCCCAGCACGAGTGCCACGGGCAGTGCCACGTCCCCTTCGGGACCGCGCTCAGGCCCACGCACGCGAGGTGGTACATGCGTGGGCAGACGGTGCACTCGAGGAGCTCGCCGCCGTCGCCGCAAGCGAAGCAAAAGTCGTCGTGCTGCAGCGCGACGCGCGCCTTGCCTGGCTGGTGCAGCTTCGCGGGTGGCGAGAAGCGGTCGGGCGCGGCTGCCTTGCGCTTCCGCCCCTCGCGGGGCGCCTCCACCGTCTCGGTCGCCGACGCCGCAGCCTTGGCGGAAGCCAGTTCTGCGCGCGCCTTGACGGCCGCGGCTGCCTGCGCCTGCGCGTTTGCCGGATCGGCGAGGTAGACTGCGACCTTTGCGTCGATGCCCGCAACGGTGGCCTTGGGGAGAGACGGCCGCTCTCGCCACGTCAGCCACGCGGAGAAGGACTCCTTCTTGATGTCGAGCAGGCGGTAGAGCTGCGCCTGGCCCACCCCGCGCGCGACCATCAGCTGCTTGATTTCGGTCACGAGCTCCGAGTGGTCGCGGGACGCCGCTGCAGGCTGCCACTCGGACGCCACGGCCTCTGACTCCGCCGCCAAAACCTTTGCCGCCGACGCCTCGAGGCGCAGCCGCTCCGCCTCGGCAGCCGCCGCCTCGGCAGCCGCCGCCTGCTCCGCCGCAATCCTCGCCCCCTCAGCCGCCGCCTCGGCAGCCGCCGCCTCGGCCGCCGCCGCCTCTGCCGTGTCCTTGGTGTCTTGGCACCGCGGCGCGTCGCTCGATGCCGCCCCCTCCTCCCCGGCCTCGTCGACATTGTCCACCTCGTCCTTGACGTTGGCGGGCTTGGCGGCGTCGAGCAGCGCGTCGTACTCGTCGGCGGTGAGCGGAGGCGCCTCCTCCGCCGTGGGGTCAAAGACGGCCTGCGCGGAGAGGGAGGAAGGGGTGAGGGCGGCGGTGAGGGCGGCGGCGAGGGCGGCGGCGAGGGCGGCGGTGAGGGCGGCTGTCTTGAGTGCAGGCAGGCAGTGGGGAGGAGAGGGCGGCGAGGAGGGAGAGAGGGTGGCAGAGGGCGCCTCGGCGCCGTGCGAGAGCATCTTGTACAGCTCCGCCATCGACAGCTTGCCCAAGTCGCTCGAGTCGTCGCCCTCGTCGAGGAGCGCCACGCCGGCGCCGCCCTCGCCCTCCTTCTTGATGACGAGCGCGTCGAGTAGCAGCTTCTGGCGCGCGCGGCGCAGCACGCGCTCCTCGAAGCTCGACGGGGAGATGAGCCGGTAGATCTTGACTTGCTTCGTCTGGCCGATGCGGTGCGCGCGGTCCTGCGCCTGCAGGTCCACCTGCGGGTTGTAGCACCTGCAAGAGCGCGGAGGAGGTTCGGAGGAGCCGCCGTGTGGCTGCGCGAGGAGGGGCGAGGTCTCGCACGTGTCGTACAGAACCACCACGTCGGCGGTGGCGAGGTTGATCCCCTGCCCGCCGGCGCGCGTCGAGATGAGGTACAGAAAGGCGCTCGAGCCGTCCTCGTTGAAGGAGCGCATGTCCATCTCTCGCGCGATGCGGTTGGTGGTGCCGTCGAGCCGGAAGTAGGCCGAGCCTACGCGGGACATGTCGCGGACGCGTCACGGACGCGCCACGGTTCGGACGCCGGTGTGCAGTCGCGGTCCGCGCCAAGGTCGCCCCACCGGTAGCGCGCGTACTCCTCGAGGACGTCGAGCGACAGCGTGTACTGCGAGAAGATGAGCGCGCGGCTGCCCGCCGCCTTGCACCGGCGGAGGAGTCGGTCGAGCATGGCGAGCTTGCCTATGACGGGACGGAGCCGCGGGCGTCTTGGGACGTGCCCCACCGTGTCGGAGGCCCACGGGCGGAGAGTTCTGCCGGACGAGGCCACGAGGCTCTCTCCAGTCAGCCCTCGCAGCGCGGCCTCGTCCTGCCGCGCCGCCGCCGACAGGTGCGAGTTGTCTGTCGGCGGGAGCTTGATGAAGGACGAGCCCGCAGCGGCGGCGTGCTTGGCGGCGGCGGCGGCGCGGTCGCGGTCGAGGGTGAGCGCGATGGCCTTGGGGTGGTTCACGACCTTCTGCAGCTGCATCAGCCGAGACTGCAGCTGCGCGAGCGAGAGCAAGCCGTCGCCGTCAGCAGCACTGCTGCTGCCGCCGCCGCCGCCGCGGGTCACCGACCCGAGTAGCTGGCGGTACCACGAGCGCTGCAGCGGCGTGAGCGGCGGCTTGAGCACGAACTCGACCTTTGGGAGCAGCGACGTCTCGACCTCGGACTTGACTCGCCGGACCTGCAGGGACGGCGCGCGGGACGCTTTTTTTTTTGTGCCACCCTTCCCCCCCCCCCCCCCCGCCTCCGACGCGGCGCGGCGCACCATCATGCTCTCGAGGAGCGCGCGGGCCTGCGCGACGGCGGAGCGGTCGAGGTTGCCTGTGTGGGACACGTCATGGACTTGTCACGGACATGTCCAGGAAGTGTCGGCGGAGCGGTCGCGGTTGCCGTCGTCGAGCCCGACGGAGGCGGCGGCGTCGAACGCGGAGGAGGAGAGGGTGTTTGGGATGACGTATGCGAGGAGCGCCCAGAGCTCGTGCAGGTTGTTTTGGAGGGGCGTGCCGGTGAGGAGGAGGCGGAACGGGATGGGCAGCCGCGCGAGGCTGGCGCAGAGCGAGGATGCCTCGTTCTTGAGGCGGTGGCCCTCGTCGATGGTGACGGTGTGGAAGAGGAAGGCCTCGGAGAAGAAGGCCTCCTCGGCGCGCAGCGTGTCGTACGTCGTCAGGTAGACGTCGTACTCGGCCTGCAGCACCGCCGGCGACGACAGTAGCCGCTCCCGCTCGCTCGCGGAGCCGTGCACCTTGACAAAGGAGAGCTGCGGCGTGAAGCGCTTGAGCTCGTTGGCCCAGTTCTGCAGCACGGCGAGCGGCGTGATGACGAGGTGAGGGCCCGGCAGCTTCGCCGCCTTGAGCGCGGAGAGGAAGGCGAGCGTCTGGATCGTCTTGCCGAGCCCCATCTCGTCGCCGAGGATGCCGCCCGTGCCGAGCGAGTACTGGCGCAGCAGCCAGTTGACGCCGTCGACCTGGTAGGGCCGGAGCGTCGCCTGGATGAAGGGCTCGCGCGGGCCGAGCACGATCGGCTTGGACTGCGCGGCGAGCACCGCCTCGCCGCCCGCCGTGAGCTTGGCGAGAGCGTCCGGCGTCACAAAGGGAGCGATCGCGGTGCGAGACTTCTCGAAGAAGCCCGCAGCACGCGAGCGGAGCGAACGGTGGACAGCGCGCACAGCGGTGATGCGTGATTGGTGCGAGGACGACCGACTGTGCGAGCCCTCGCAGCCGGTGCAACGCCACTCCTTGAGATTCTCGGGCCACGCCCGAAGGCCCGCGCAGTTAAGGTGGTACTTGGCCTTGCAGCCTCGGCACTTGATCAGGTCGTCGTGCGACTCGGCGTCGCCGCGGCACACGGCACACCAGTCGTGAATTCGCGCCGCCATTAGTGCGATGGCCAGTAGATGCGCGCGCGAGCTGAGGAAAAGAATTCTTGAGCTAAGCCTCTGAGGAAAAGAATTTTGGAAAACAATACAGGTTCCTCTCGAGGAAAAGCGTCCGCTGGGACCTCCTGAATCTTACCGCGACTTGGTCTCACTTGATAACACCCTGCTCATCCGACATTACTCCCCGCGAGGCCTGCTCTGTCCTCACCTCTGGCGCTCCCGCAACGGCGGCTGCAGCTCGGAGGCTTTCGAGGAGTTTGCCACTCGCCGCGGGCGCTTCGGCGGATGCGGCCGCGGCGGGTGCGGCCGCCGCGGGCTCGCAGCGGGCGCGCGCGAGCGAGAGGTTGTGGCGCAAGCCGTCGACGTACGGCACGATGGCCGACGAGAGCAGCTCCTGCGCACAGGGCCAGGCCAGGTAAACGCCTCCGCACCCTCGTCTCCACGCCCTCTCTCTCGCCTCTCGGACGTCCCACCTGCGCGCGGGACACGAGCGGCGCGCACCGCCCCTCGAGCTCTCCCGCGGAGAGCGGCGGCGGCGGCGGCGTGGAGACAACCTCGAGCCGCCGCAGCGCGAGCGCGAGCTTGTCCTCGCAGTCCGACACTGAGAGCTTCGTCTCGACGACAGCGGAGCGGAGCCTCGCCGCCTCCTCCGCGCACTCGCCGCCGCCGCCGCCGCCGCTGCCGCCGCCGCCGCCTTGGCGGCTGAGCGCCCGGATGGCGCGGCACAGCCTCGCCCAGTCGGGCAGTGCCTGCTCACGCCGCACGGTGTGAAGAGACGCCGTCCACACGCGGCACAGCTCTGCCGCGTCGCTGGCGCAAGGCTGCCGGACATCGGCACCAGCCAGCATCCTCGAGGGCGAGGCCTGAGGAGCAGGGGAGGCGCGCCAGCCTAAGAGGTCCGCCCTAGCCTTCCCAGCGAGGAGGGTGCCAAATCTGTGTGGGTGGGTGGAGGGAGAGAGGCGGCGTTGAATTCGCGCGTCCTACCGCCAGCACCTTCGGCGAGCTCTGCCCGGACCAGCTCGGCCTGGTCGGCGAGGAGGCCTGCCGCTCCGCCAGCCTCCTCGTCGGCGCCACCCGCGTCCGCCATCGCGCGCAGCGCCTCACGAACGGCCGCGCGCACGGCCGCTGGAGCCAGGGCTGCTGCGCTGGCGCTGCACGCGCGCTGCTCGAGGTCATGGCGCTGGCGCAGGCGGCGCGCCTCGTTATGTGCGTGCCGCGCCTCGCTCTCTAGCCGCTCGACCTCTCGCTCGAGCGAAGTCGTGCGTGCCTGCAGTCGTGTGGAGACGGTTGGCGTGACGGTGGCCGGCGACCACGGCTCGCTTGGGTGCTGCGGTGACCTGCGCGCGCGATGCCGCTCCGGCGATCTGCTGGTGCTGCTGCGTGACGTAGAGGAGGACGAGCGACAGGACGACCACCATGCCCGAGGTGGGCCGCAGCATGTGTCGGTTGTGTTCGCCGGTGAGGAAGTTGGCGGAGTTGGCGGGCCGCAGCCACTGACAGCCGACACACGTGGTGAGCTGTGGTGGCGGGCCAGAATATTCCAGCGGCCCCGTTTCGTTCACGTGTGTCTCGCTCTGCAGGCACCGATGGTCCCCCTGGGGGCCGAATCGGTTTTCTCGATTTTCAGAAAGTGCCGGCCCGGGGCCCGCTCTTCTCGGGGCCCGCTCTTCTCCCTCGCTTCAACGAGATGGCGGACGAGACGACTGCGGTCGTGCCGCACGGGGACCGGCGGCTGCGCGCGTGCATGGTCACCGGGCTCGTAAAGACGGAGGAGCAGGCGGGCGCCCCTTCGCGCACGCGCCACCGCACATACACACCCGCGCTCACAACCGCCGTGCGCTCGCCTGCAGTGGGTGCGAGATGGGAACGAGAACGTGCCGTTTCTGCTGTCACCGAACGAGCGGGAGATTGTCTTCGAGGTCACGTCGCCCAACTTTGACGGCCTGGTGGCGATGATGAAGCCGGACGAGTCGTGGGTCGCGCGCTGGCAGGGCATCACGGCGTTCGTCCCGGGGTGCTACGCGCTGCGGGTGCGAGGGACGCTGCCGGAGCAGCACCGACAGACGCTCGAGGAGAACGGCGCCAGATACCACAATCTCGACGACACATCCGCGATGAGGCCGGAGTAGCACATGTGCATGTGCATGTGCATGTGCATGTGCATGTGCATGTGCATGTGCATGTGCATGTGCATGTCGCGTATAGATAGAGCTTGTCGCTCGTCGCGGAGTAGGTTTTACAGCAAGGTTTTTGGCAAGAAATCACACCCGCTGCGGACGACTGCCACACGCCTCCCCAAGCTGCTTTCTACATTCTACCCGCGGCGTCACCAAGACCCACCAAGAGGGCCACTTTACGTACAGGTATACTCTCCTGTCTCTCCCCGCGCGGTCGCCCCCCGGAGCTCTCTCGCGCAGTCTCTCGGCCTTCAGAGTGTTCAGTCGTCGCCGCGCCCGTACTGGGCCTCCAGCCGCGCGCGCAGCCGCAGCGCGTTGAGGAGCGTCGCCCACTGGCCGAGAGCGCGGCGGCGCAGCTTGCGCGACAGCTTGTCCTCCTCGGCCTCGGCGATGCCCGCCGCCGCCTCGACCAGCAGGGGCGCGGCCTCCTCGCACACGATCACCCCGTCGAACCGCGGCACCGACCGGCCGTCGCGAAAGTCGAAGCCGACCATCGCGGGCGCGCAATCGACGCCCAGCTTCTTGGCGGCAGCCGCGACGTGCGGCGCCCTGAGCCACTTTGTGCCGAGCGGCAGGTGCTTCTCGGACCACATCTCGACGTGCCCCCGCTCCGACCGAGGTACCACCCCGCCGATCGCCGCGGGAGGCTCGTAGGCGTACGTCTGCCACTCTGCGTACAGATCGAGCGCCCCCTCGCCGCCACCGCCCTCCGCCCCGCACCCACCCTCCCCCTCCGCCGGCTCGCCCTCCCCGTCGCACTCCTCGCCTCCGTCACCTCCGCCTCCGCCTCTGCCGCCGCCGTCCGCACTCCGCCGCCCGCCGCCCGCAATCGGCGCCTTGCCCCCGCGAGCCGCGCCCCAAGGCGGGCCTCCCCCTCTGCCCCTGCCGCCGCCGCCCCTGCCGCCGCCGCCCCCGCGGCCGCCGCCCCTGCCGCCGCCGCCCCCGCCTCCGCCGCCCTTTGGGACGCGCTTGAGCGGCGCCTGCGCCGGCAGGAGGCAGCGCGCTTGCCGGAACCATCGCTCCTACCAGTGGGGAGGCTCGAAGGTTACGGCGCCGGGAAGCCTCCTTCCCCTGACCTTCTCGGGGCCGCCGTTCCTCGGTCATCAGCCGCACGACGGAGGCGCGCGGGTAGACCCTCTCCCCCTTGAAGAGGCCGACGAACGGCGTGTCGGACGGGTGCAGCACCTCATACCTAGTCGGGGCACTCCGCCGTCCGGTGGCACTCAGCAAGTATCGGGGTCGGGTGCAGCGCCTCGCACCGGCCCAAGTCGCGCTCGAGCACGTAGTGCGCGTCCTGCACACCGGGGGCGCGGGCCGTGAGCAGGAGGGGGGGAGAAGCGGGCCAGCGTCTCGCTGCAGGCGGATCCTTCTTGAAGGCGGCGAGCGACGACGGCATCGGCTGCGACCTCAGCCGAGACCGCACCTCGGCCGCCTCGGCGGCGGCGGCTGCAGCGGCGGCCGAGGTGGACGGCCCCGCGTGGCTCGCGGCGGGGGCGGCGGCGTCGGGCGGCAAGTCTGCAGTGAGGTCGACGGGGTCGCGACTCGTTGCGCCGCGAGCCAGCGCCTCCCGCTCCTCTGCCCGCCCCTCCTCTCCGCCGCCGGCTCGCGCCTCTGCGCCGGCGCCGCCTCGCCGACTGAGGGCGAGCGCCGCCTCCCACCACTCGTGCGACGTGCGGACGGCGCGGCAGGCGGCGTAGTCAGGCACGTACCGCACCGTGACGTCGACGGCGGACTCGTCCTCGCCTACGGGGAGGGGGGCGGCGCCCGTGGTCAGGCCCGCGGTGAGAGACCACCGGAGGGGCCACCCACCCTCTCGCCCCAGCCTGCCCACCCCTCACACCCACACCCACACCCCGCGGTGCGCACCGAAGCCGACGATGTACGCGCGCGCGGCGAGGGCGCGGCCAGACACGCGCGCGGAGAGGATGGCCTCGGGAGTGTCGACGGCGGGGGCGCTCGGCTTGAAGAAGGGGTCCAGGGCGACCCACCGACCCTCGCGCGGGAGATACACCTGGAAAGGGGGGCGGGGGGGGCGCCGCGCTGAGAAGCGCTGAGAGGCGCAGCCCGCCAAATCTGCTCTCCCGGGGCGGCGGCGGCGCGCCTCGGCCCAGCACGGAACCTGGTGCGGAGGCTTGGCCGTCCTCACCGCCCCCGAAGCGGCCTTCCCGCCGCCGCCGGCCGCCTTGGGCTTGGGCTTGGGCGGCGGCTTGCGCGGCGGCGGCTGCAGCGCGACCACCAGCCTCGCCGTCAGCCCGCGGCTGCGGAGGAGGCCGAGAACGACTAGCAGCTGTTGCGTCGCTGTCGCGCGGCGCGTCGCCAGCGCCTCCTGCAGCGAGCCGCGCGCGACGTCGCTCTCGCCACCGCCGCCGCCGCCGCCCGTCCTCGTGCTGCTGCTGCCGCCACCCCCGCTGCTGCTGCTGCTGCCGCCGCCGCCGCTGCTGCTGCTGCTGCCACCGCCGCTGCTGCTGCTGCCGCCGCCGCCGCTGCTGCTGCCTCCGACACGCTCCAAGTTGCCGCGCAAGAGGGCGAGGTTGGCTCCGGCGTCCGTGCGCACCCTCCACCTGCCGAGCTTGGAGTCGAAACGGACGACGGTCGCCTCGCGCCTGCCGCCGCCGGACGCGGACGCGTGGTGAGGCGAGTGAGGGGGGGGAGGCGGCGGGGCGGGGGAGCGAGCAGGAGGGCGGAGAACGGAAGGGGGAGAGGGGAGGGCGCGAAGGCGCGAGGGCGTGAGGGCGTGAGGGCGTGAGGGCGGGTGCACCCGTTCAGCTCCGGCTTGGAGGAGATGCCAACCACGCGCACGCGCTGCTGCGGAGCGAGCTCCTACAGCCGAGAGGAGCCCCCCAAGTGCAGCCGAGAGGCAGACGCTGCTGCTCAGCCCGCCCCTCGCGCCTCCGCTTCCCCCTCCGCCTCCCTCCCCTCCCCGCCGCCGCTCCCACCGGCGGTGCCGCCGCCGCCAGCCTCGGCGGGCCGCAGCAGCGCCGCTGCGTGCGCCTCGTGCGCCAGCTCCGCCTGTCCAAGCCAAAGCGCAGCCTCGTGAGGCGGTCGCTCTTCCGAGACGCGCGCACCCGCTGGTGGCGATAGAGGGCGAGGGCTCGGTGGCGGTGGCGACGGCGGCGGCGGGCTCGGCGGTGGCGGGCCGGGAGGCGCTGGCGAGGGTGGCGGCGGGCTGGGCGGCGGTGAGAGGGCGAGGGCGCGGAGGCGGGAGGGTGGGAAACGGCGCGCGCGCCAGCCGCTCACGCAGCGCCGAGCCGCGCCCGGGAGGAGGAACGAACGCCGCGGCCGCCCCCGCCGCGACTCGTGGCGCGCGGCTCAGCTCCGCCTCGACGGCGCCCACCTTTTGGACAAAGCTGGCGGACGCGTCGTGGACGTATCGCGGACAGCTGCCCCTCTGCCTCAGCCGCTGACCGCCGCCGCCGCCCAGTCTGGCGCGCCGGGCTCGCGGCCGAGGTGCAGCAGCGAGAGGAGCAGCCACCGCCGCTCGATGAGCCGCACCGGCCCTGCGGCGCCGTCGCCGCCTGCAGGCGTGGGCGTGTCGCGGGCGCGTGTCGCGGGCTTGTCGCGGGCGTGTCGCGGGCGTGTCGGGACTGGCGCGCCCGTGGTTCCGGCTGCTGGGCAGTGCGGGGTGCGGCGCGTGCCGTGCGTCGCGGCGTCGAAGCAGGAGGGCAGCCACGCGAGGATGCGGCGGAGGCCGGCGAGGTCGAGCCGCCGCGGCGCCGAGGCAAGCGCGAGGTCGGGCGGGAGGAGCGAGAGGAGGAGCGAGTGCAACAGCGGCTCCGACGCCTGCAGGCGCGAGACGCGGCGATGGGCCGAGTGAGCACCGTCGCTCTCGCGGCTGCAGACGGCCTCCGCGCTGCGACGGCACCTGCTGCGAGAGCTGCACGCCGTGCGCCAGCCAGCACTGCAGCGCCACTCGGTGCACCACCTCAAACGCCTAGGCAAGAGACTTCCGGGAGGGTCGAGGTACGGCCTCGACGAGGCGATACCGACGCAGCCTCCTGTCGTGCACCTCGCGCCGGCGCTGCCCCTCTTGACGCTCCGCCTGCTTCGCCGCCTTGAGCAGCAGCCGCTGCCTCCGCTCCTCCTCCGCTGAGAGGATCGTCTTCAGACCGGGATCTGCCGCCGCAGGTGCGCCCACGGGTCCACCGGGCCGGTCCTCGGCGTCGAGCATCAAGGTGAGGTTCCCAGTCGGCATCATCAATGTGTGGGCGGCGTCCGGCGCAGGGGCGACGCCATCCGCACCGCCGGCGTCCTCCCACATGTCTTCATCGTCGACCTCGTCCTCTATGTCCTCTCCGTCCTCTCCGCCCGCCTCCTCGCCACCCTCGTATGCACCCGTTTGCTCTCCGGAGAGCAGCCAGGTGGACGCATCCAGGCGTTGCCGCTTGACGCCCGAGTCGACGAGACTCATGCACTACTGCTAGAACACTCTTCACTCACAACGCTACGGCGCATCGAGCGGCAGCAGAGTGGATAAAGAATTTCCGAGGCCGCTGGTTAAAGAAATCCTTTTGCACTTAGGCGGAGAACGACGAGAGTGGGACGACCGCGAGGTGGCATGGAGGTTGCAGCGAGAATTGGTGAGAAACTGCGAAGAGAGATAAGGCAGACGCCCAAGGGTGGGCGACGGCTAGCGCACCACACTCCTCTCCTTAAAATCCCTGTGTGGTGGTGGCGGCGGCGTGCCGTCCTCCCATCCCTCTCTTCGACTGTCTGTTTTCTTTCTTTCTCTCTTTGATTCGCACCATCGCCCATCGGGCAGATTTTGTATACCGAGGCGGTGCCCGGTGCCGAGCGTAGGCGATGCCCGCAGGTCGGACCGTAAGACAGCAATGTAGGTTTGTACAGTGCTCAAACTTTACCGGTATGAGACTGGTATTTGGCGATATTTTGATTAGTTTTGGAGTGGTATGGTATAGTGGTATGCGAAAGTGGTATGCGGGGTTTTCAGTAGTTGTAGCGGCTGTCGGTGTGGTCCCGGGGGCGAAACCATGCAAAAGTGCGGGTATTACCCGGGTATACCCGGGTTTTTCCAGGTATACCCGCAAAATACCCGGTATTTTGCCGATTTTGCCGATTTTGCCACCAAGAAGGCACTCCGACTCGCTTTGATTTCCGTGAGGCAACTGGTATCCCGTACCACTTTTTGATTAGTGCAGGCCTTGGGTTTGATTAGCCAAAAACTCCCATACCGGTAAAGTTTGAGCACTGCCACTGGGTTTGTACACATCCCAGGGCGCCAGGGGGCGAGAGGCGGGAAGCAGGGTGGCGTGCTCGTGCGTGCAGTGTCGTGGCTCGTGCTGCTGTGGTGGGGAAGAGGCGCGAGAGGGCCGTTCTGGCGGGGGAGCCGGGGCGGAGTCCTGAGTGCAGAGTGCTGAGTGGCTGAAGCCGACGACGACGAAACGGCAACTGCTATAAACAGCTAGAATCCGGTCTGGGTGGAAATATGGCGATGACAACATGGCGGCTCCTCACGTGGACGGCTCCGAGCGCCGCCAGCCAATCTCTTTGAGGGCGGCCGCCTCGGTGCGGAGCTCCGCGTCGGCTCTCCGGAGCTCTGACTGGAGCGTCTCGATCGCCGCGAGTTGCTCGGATTCGCTGCACTGCTGGCTCTCGAGCTCGTCCACGAGGCCATCAAACTCGCGGTGCAGCCGCGTCACGTCGGACGCAAAGGAGGCCACCGTCTCGGCGCCCGGCCCCGCTGCCGCGCCCGCCGCGCTCCCGGCTGGGAGCGGCGGCGCCTGCGACTGGAGGTGCCCGATCGACGTGAAGTAGGCCTCGCACATCTCGGTAACCTTGGCGTGCAGTCGGTCGACCACATCTGGCAGTGGCTTCGGCACTGCCGTGTCCGCTGCGCTCGAGGCTCTGTCCTCTACCGCCTCCGCCTCCATCCTCGCCCAAGAGCCGCAAGCCCCATCCTTGATTTTTTCAAAAAGAATAGAAATCGCGCACTGGGGCGCGCCCTGGCACTAACACAGGTACACCGTTTGAAATTGGGCCTCTTCTCATGGCGTGCCGTCCTAGATGCAAGTGTTCGAAGAGAGCGACGGCTTTCTGAGCGGCGACCTCCGCCTCCGCCGCCCGCTGAAGCTCTTGTGTGTCAGCGAGGGCCTTGCCGAGACGCGCGTGCCACTCGGCGGATATGTCGCGCGTGTAGACCAGGCACAAACGTCTTTTCTTCTTCAGCAAGCGGCCCGGCAGTAGCACGCTGCTTCCCTGGAAGTTGTCCGCGTTGGCCTCAAGCACAGCTGCCTGCAAGTCGTCGACGAGCCTGGCGAACGGGAAGGAAAAGTGCTGCTGCTTAAACGCCGCCTGCGCGTCGGTAGCGCGCTTGGCGAGGCTCTTGAGCTGCTTGAGCATCTCCTCAGACGCCCAATCGCGCAGCTGATCGAGCTCACTCACAACCACCGACTGCGGCTCAGACCATTCTGATGCGAAGGACCCATCCGCCGCACGAGCACGCACGCGAAGGTGAAACGTCCGAGGGGCGGCACTCTCGTCGCAGAGGCTCAACTCGAAGTGAGTCTGCAGCCCCTTGTATCTCCTTACGTATGACGAGTCCGGCGGCGAAGCGGACCGAGGGCCGAGGACCGAGGCCACCTCCAGCTCGTAGTAGCAGCCCTTTTCCAGCATGCTGTCGGTGAGCCGAGACGCCCAATCGACACGCGTCCGCACGCTGGGGAAGTTTTTGCCGTCCACCCATTCCTCATGTTCGATGGAGTACTGCCTCGCGCTCGTCTTTGGCAGCCGGGTAGGCAGGAGCGTCTTGTCCTCAATCCTGCGCGGCCCCTCCGGTCGTATCGAGCTCGACTGTTGCGCCCGATTGGCTCCCGCCAACCGGGCGCGGTGCTCCGTCAGCGCAGACTCATGCTCTTTTTTAATCTTCGCCAGCTGCTCCGCCGGGTCGTCGCCGTAGTGCTTCACGAAGTACTCATGGCCGCGACCTTCCAAGTACGCGCTGCGGGCCGCGTCCTGGCGGAGGCAGCGGCCGACCTCCTCACACGCAGCCCAGCCAGCCGCCGTGCCGCCCGCACGATCCGCGTGATGCTGTCGCATCGCCGAGCGCAAGCTCTTCGACACCGCAGCCGCAGAGGCGTCCTCCCGCAAGCCGAGAAACTGGAAGGCTGGGAGCGGCTGCAGCGCAACGTCGCCAAGCTTCACGGCCCGCTGCTTCCCCTTGCCCCAACACTCGCATGCTTGCGCATCGCAGACGCCTGAAGCCCAGCCACAAAAGCCCGCGGGGAAGTGGGAAACGCTCGCCTTGCCGAGAGCTGCGCCCGCGTCTCCACAGAGCACGCACGTGTGCCGCCCGCCTTTGCACAGCGCCTCGCCGAAGGAGGCGAGCAGGTCATCCACGCGGCGCTCGACGAGCTTCGAGATGCTTGCTGCCGCGTCATCCCCCGCCGACGCAATCAGAGCCTGGACGAGACTGCCCTCGGCCCCGGAGGGGAGCTGCCTCAGCGCACGGCGGAGCTCGTCGCTGCTCGCGCCGCCGCCGCCTGCTTGACCCTCTCTTGCGGTGCGCTGCACGGCCGACACGGCTGCGATCGCCTCTTCCCGCCACACGGCGAGCCTCGCTTTTGCCGTCTCGACCGCCGCCTCCGCCAACTCGTCTCGCGCTTCCTTGCACTGTTTCAGGATACCCGCCTTCTCTCGCACGAGCTGGCTGAGATTCCGAGAGTACGATGCGTGCGCCGGATTCTGCTTGACCTCGTCGATGGCGGCGTCCATGGCCTGCTCGTACAACTCCGGCACGGCTCGCACGGCGGCTCGCACCTCGGCAACGAGCTGCGCCGCAGCCTCCTCGACGTCCCCGTCGGCGATGCGCGTGTGCGCTGCGACGTCGGTGCGAAGCGCACGAAAGTTTTCGCGAGTCCTTTCCTCAGCGCGCAGCCGCTTCCATTCCGGCAGGAGAGCGCATGCCTCCCGCGCCAGCGAGAGCAGCCTCTCCTCGAGAGCGCGGAGGCGGCCGTCGATCTGGCGCGGCTCGCTCGTGGCCAGATCCCTGCACTCCTCGAGCGCCTCGTCGCAAGCCGCCTGCCACTCGCTGTCAACGTCTCGTTGAAGCAGCCTCGCCAGCGCATCGCGGAGGCGAGTGAGCGCTGCGCGGCCATCGCTCCACGGCGCGGCGAGCGCCTCGTCGAGCGAGGCGGTGGTGGTCTCGATCGAGGTCAGCCGAGAGATCAGGCTGCTCTCGCTCGCGTGCCACGCCGCCGCCAGCCGCCGGCGCAGAGTCTCCAGCACCCGCGGCACGGCCGATGCGTCGAGGCCGCGGGAGAGCACCTGAGACACCGGCTTGAGCAGGGCCGCAGCGGCGGTCGTGTCGGCAAACAGCCCGATCCGTGCGATGCTGGCGGCCAGCTCCTTTTGCGCCGCCTCCTCTGCCTTGGCCCGCGCCCGGTCTGCGCCATCGATCCCGTCGGGATCCCCCGGCTTATATTTCGCCCTCACGCGCCATGCCTCTTCGGCCCCTCGCCGCTGCGCTCGTTCCTTTATCCGCAACATGGCGGCGCGCCCTCCCTCCTCTCTTGCGGAGCGTGCGAGCGACTCGCCCAGGCGGCGGAGACCCGCCTTGAGCACGAAGGACGCCGACATGACAGTGCTCGCAGGCTGCCCCAGGATGGTCGCAGGCTGCCCCAGGACGGCGAGGACTGTGGACAGGACGCCGGCGGGCGCGGCCGTGCTGGCTGCGGCGTCGGGAAGAATGGCGGCGGCAATGTCCGAGGCGGCGGACTCGCACAAGTGAGCCGCGCACTCGTCCGGCTCCTCCTCGATCCACGACTCGCCGGACGGCTCCGCGCTGTGCAGCGTCTCGATGCGAAGCTCGACCTCGTCCCCGTTCAGCACGACGTCCACGACTCGGGCGTAGCCGCCGAGCGCACGAGTGCTCGAGTCGTGGAAGCGCTGGACGGTGCCGAGGTAGCTTCTGTAGAGGACGAGCTTCGCTTGCGCGTCGGACATGGTGAGGCTCTCCAGCAAGGGCGAGGCACAGCCGAAGGAAGCGGAGCCGGGGGCACAGCGAAGACAGCGGAGTCAGCAAGGCAGCAAAGCCGAACGGCAGCGGAGCCGTCAGCAAGGCAGCAAAGCCGAGCGGCAGCAAGGCAGCAAACGGAGAGCTTGTAGAGGGTGCTTCGAGTTTTCTTTTCCCTTGCAAGTCTGTAATTCTTTCCCAGAGCACTCGGAACCGGATCATGCGCGAATCCGAGGCCCTGCTCGCCGCCCCCGCGCGCGAGACGTGCTCCCCTCGTACGGAGAAGGCCCTGGGACGTCGGGCCGAAGCCCGTCAGGCACTCTCTCCCGAACGAACCCTAGTGTGTGTTGGTTGCCTCTGTGCTTTCACACCTCGCCCCGTCGTGTCCGTCCACATTGTGATTGCGGACGTCCCCGACTACGTCGTCTCTAGAGAACGTCATACAACCCCCTTCTGGTGTCGACCGCGCCCCTCGCGGGGGCACGGCCGAACGAAGGTGACTGGGGGGGAGATTTTCAATACCAAACAACTCTGTTTGTGACTGGTGGATGACGCCTACGACTACTTACTACCATCGCGCGCTCGCAATCCGAGCAAAGTCTAGGGTTGCGTGTTGCGGAGCAGCTTAGCTCACAATCCTAGAACTTTAGGAGTGCTGCTCACAGTCCTTCGACTTCTAGGATTGAGAGCGAGGCTGCTCTCAATCCTACATGTGCCTGGTAGATAGAAAAAAAGAAGGTTCACCCTCTCTGTCTCCCCCCCCCCCTCTCTCTCTCTCTCTCTCCCTCTGCCTCTCTCTCTCTCTCTCTCTCTCTCTCTCTCTCTCTCTCTCTCTCTCTCTCTCTCTCTCTCTCTCTCTCTCCCTCTCTCTCTCTCTCCCTCCCCCCTACACATATACTCTCACTCGTACAGGGTTCCGCCGACCCGTCGAGTCGCCGGGTTTCACCAAACGAACACCAGCTTTCGGCAGACAGCGGGCATTTGCGGCTTTCGGCTTTTCGCGCGTTGTGACACGCGTTTCACCGCCCGTCCTGGATCCGCCCGACCCTCAGGCGACCTCGAACGCTGCCAGCCTGCCTTTTGCCGCCAGACCTATTTGGCCGCCCAGCCGCAAGGCATGCTGCTCGAGTGCGAGCGCCTTGAGCTCCTCACGGAAGATTACTGGGGCGCCTCGCACGCTCAGCTCGCTTACGGTGTCTGCTCCACAAGAGACAGAGGAGTGCATTACGTCTCTGCGGACAGCCCGTGCTTCTCCGGCGCCCCTGCTGACCACCCAGTCACCCTGAACGTGAGCGCTCCCGCCCTCGACCCCATCGCCGCCGCTTCAGCCCTCGGCTCGGGCAGGCGTGGCGGCCCTGTGGCAAGGGCATTGCCTCAGGCAGAGATCGCTCGAACTGCCGGCGCCATGGCGCCGAGGAGTGCACGCGCGCTCGTGGACACTTCTCTCGGGGCCGCCATGGCACGAACGGTCGTGACGCTCCGCCTTGTGTACACCGATGCGGCACCAGACTACTGCAACAACGAGTGCGCTGACAATGGAATGTGGGGCACTGCTGGCGGCGTCAAGGTTTCGGGAACGGTGACTGGCTGGGTGAACGACGCCCTCAATTTCTCCTCGTATGGTGCCACCTCGCTGGACCAGGCCGCGTCGGTGATGGCCGTCACCGTGATGATGGGCAACCATACCCCGGAGGAGAGCTTGGGCTGTAACTACCAAGCGGTCGTGATTCCGGAGCTTAATCGCGCCAATGATTTGGCAAAGTCGCAGCTGGGGATCGACCCGAACTTGTTCACGCATAGAGAGTACTTTGTCCCCCGCGAATTTGGCTCCTGCAACTGGGGAGGCATCGGCAACGTGGGCTGTGCGCCGCCAGGCAGAGAAGACAGCCACGGCCGGTGCTTCACAGTGATACGCGACGCTCAACCGATGACGCGGGTGCACGAGCTCGGGCACAACCTCGGGCTCTACCATGCGGGCATCCCGGCCAATTCTTACGGCGACACGACCTCCGTCATGGGCCAGAACCGCCACTGGAAAGCGTGCGACGCCCCGCCCACAGAGAAGCCACAGCTGGGTGTGAAAAGGGCCCTTTCACACCACACCTGTCAGCCCCGTAGCACTCCTCGCCGCCGCCGGTCGCGCCAGGTTCAATGTGGTCAACCGTTTCCAGCTCGGCTGGATCACCGCGGACCACGTCGCCTTCGCTGAGCCCGAGGGTGCCGAGCGGTACATCATCCATGCGGTCGGCCAGCCGCCGGCGCCATCGGTGCTCTCCGCGGTCCGCTTCTTGTGCCGTTCGTGCTACGCGGACTACCCAAACAGCGAGGCGTGGGTCTCTCTGCGGGACGATTCGGGGTACGACGCCGACCTCCCCGATGACCAGCGCCATCACGTGCAGGCTCGCTCGCACCGCCCGACAAACTCACTTCACACGCGAGACAGGTGGGAGATGCGAGATAGCTGGGCGTTGTTACACAGGTGCACATCCGACTTTTGACTTCCGCCGATCATTATCGCGGCACGCGGCTGGAGGCTTCGCTCCGAGCGACTCAAGAGGCGAGGGTAGCCTCGAGTCACGTTATCCGCGCGTGTGCGATCACTGCTCACACCGCCACCATTGCCATCGCTGCCGGCGACACCGCCGCCACTGATGTCGCCGAGCTATGCAACGCACCGTCACCATCGTCCCCGCCACCCCGGCCACCGGTGCCACGTCCACCACCGCCGTCACCTCAACCGCCTCCACCGTTGCCGCCACCCTCCCCCGAGCCTCTTCCTCCGCCGTCGCCATCGCCACCGCCGCCATCTCCACCACCACCCTCGCCACCCTCGCCGCCGCCGCACCCGCCCGACCTGGCGCCAAATCCGCCGCCGCCCAAGCCGCCACTCCCATCGCCTCCGCCTCCGTCGCCTCCGCCCCACCCGCCTCCGCCGCCACCGCCATGGCTCCCGCCGCCACCATCGCTCCCACCGCCACCGCCGCCACCAGAGGGCGGAGGCAGCATCGCCCTCGTTGCCGGAATCGCTGGATGTGTTGTCAGCTGTGCGCTACTCCTGGCCGGAATCTACTTGCGGCGGCGCCGGCGGCGCCAGGACCAACACCAAGAGCCCTCCGGGTGCGGGTGTGCAGGCCATCCCCACAACCGTCCAAGCTTGCGTAAGGTGGACATGTCGCCCACGCCCGCCAGAACCTGCCCTTGGGCGTCGGCCGATGTGGTGTACAGGCTGTAGAGAGCGCGGGGGGCCGGCACAGGGGGCGGGTGGACACATAGAGAGCAGTGAGGTCGACACATGACCGCGGTCCGCCCCCCCGCCCCGCGCCCCCTCTGTGATGAAGCTCGACGGTCTGTGATCAAGGGCTCGTCACGTGAACGCCATGACGGGACACATACGTGCATGACACATGACATGTGCATGTCCATGTTCATGATACGTCCAAAATAAATAGATACCAGGAAATGAGAACGCTTGTCCGACTGGCTACCTTCTTCTACTGCTGCCGCCAAAGGACAGCAGTCTGCTCTTGGGCTTTGGCTGCTCCTGTGGCTGCCTCAGCCCCCAGAGGTCCGCGTTGTCTACCGAGGAGACCCTCCGCTCTAACCACGAAGCTTTTTCGGCCAGCTGCTTATTGTCGCTCTCGAGCTTGAGCGTCCGGGTCTGCAGCTCGGCGCACAGTGACAATAGCTCTGCCTTCTCTCGTTCGAGTGCTGCAACACGTGCCATCAGCCCCTCACGGCGTGGCGATTCGGGAGTCGTGTCTGCGGGCTCGGTCACTCGCATCTCGGGTCTTCTCCTGGGCAAATTTATCGGGGTCCCTGCGGAAGGCTCCGAAATCTGCCTTCTCGGCGGTGTCCGCCTCGCCCTCGCCCTCGCTCGTGGCGATGCCTTGCCATCCGTCGGCACAGCATTCAGCTTCGGAGCGTGTAGCGTTTGGCCTTCGATCTTTAGGTCATCGGGATTTGGACTAGGAAGGCCTTCACTATCGACCTGCACATATGGCATGCGGGCGGCACAAGCAATTGCATCGCGTGCGAGACTCGAGCAGCTAGGTGGATTTGGCAGGACCTGCAAGCAGTGGCAATCTGGCTCAGCAGCAGCCCCACGGGGACACACGCGAGTGCAAGGCTAGCGGCCGGCTGTGCGCCGTGATGGGTGGTAGGTAAGTCGTGTGCTCCTCGCTCGCAACCCTCATAACGAGGTCCGGCTGCGTCGTGTTGCCAGGATTTTACGGACTTGACGTCCATGTACGTATACTTTTAGCTCTCTCTCTCTCTCTCTCTCTCTCTCTCTCTCTCTCTCTCTCTCTCTCTCTCTCTCTCTCTCTCTCTCTCTCTCTCTCTCTCTCTCTCTCTCTCTCTCTCTCTCTCTCTCTCTCTCTCTCTCTCTCTCTCTCTCTCTCTCTCTCTCTCTCTCTCTCTCTCTCTCTCTCTCTCTCTCCCCCCCCCCCCCTGTACGCATACAATTTCACAACTCAACTCCCTCGCACAACACTGGACAGAAAGGAGAAAGGGAATTATACAGAGTGAGGGAGAGATCCCCAGGGTGCCATTTACTGGGAAACTCGAGAGTCGAGTGGTCACATTCCTGAGTGAGGACTCAAGGGACAAGGCGTGCCGTCTAGTTGGCCTCTGCAGAAACTAGAAGGTGCGGGCCGGTCACTCTGTCTGGCGACTGGGTGTCCATCAGGGTGCGTAGGTGGGACTGACCACTGTGTGCACTGAGAGCACTGCGTGTGTGCCCGCGTTGTCGGCGCGCGTGTTGGGTTCGTCTTGCCTGTGGGTTGGCGCTGTTTGGCTTGGGGGCCGCCCGCCGCGCGCGCCGCCACCGGGCTGAGTCCACGGTCAGGGTGCCGAGCTGTTGTGTTATAAACGCTCCGTAGAGAGCCACCAGACGGAGAGTGGCTCAGCCGACAGCCCCGGCCCCGGCGGGCCCCAGGTCCCATCCCCAGAGACCGCCTAAGCACCTAAGCGGCCTAAGCGGGGGGGCGCT